TAAGTTATTATTATTATCGTTATCAGTTCACTATTCAATTTTCAGTCGTAAAAGCGTAAAAATTGTTGTATTTTCTTAAATGGTTTATTAATTTGAAAAACAAGTCATTTTTATGAAAATTGTCGGTAGTTTTAGTTTTAATAATTCTGACATACTCGAAAGACCCACCTCACACGTGTCCTAATGCTAACTACCAAAAATTGGCACGAACTTTCCGGACAAGCCAATATTATTCTGTTTTGCTTTTTGTGAATTGTTTGATAACTTATGAACGGGAGTGTACTTATATTAGAGTGTTCTATATAAGTAGGTGGTCTAAGGGCAAACGAGGACTGATAAAAAACAGCTGTGCGGTGTCGTCAGGAAATTAGATAAAAAGACACAAAGCTTCATCTATTTATTGTTTCATTCGCCTTGCACTTTTCAATATCAAATCTTTGATCAATTGTAGAAAAAATTGCTTGAACGCTGTGATTTGGAAATATCGAGCCGTCGTTCAAGTCGTCGACCTACCGCGATATCGAAACTGCGCAAGTTATTATCATTGAGCGGTTGAATAGCTATCTTCTGGTATTCACCGCGCAAACTCTGGTATCGCGCGATCAACCTGGCACGAACCTCTTCTTACTCGCGTTTCCAGGGAACCCGAACGCATTCCCTGGCAAAGGATATCGAGATCGTCGTTCGCGATACGCTCGCCAGCTATCTGAGCCCCGCAGCCGCATGAAACGCGTCACAGCCTATTTTCTTTCGAATCAACGCTGCTCGTTTGTTGTAACAAACTATTCGATGAACAAACTTAATAAAAAGAATTTCAATGTTCTGCGCTCTCGTGACGAGGTATGCACTTCTCTTGTACGATTTTACTGAGCAGGATTGTATTTTTTCAATATTGATATCACTTTTTAATTTTCTGCTGACCGATTTATAAATGTAAGCATTAAATCGCCAGAGTACAATATGACCGAGAAGTGGTCTGACCAAAAACGCGTCTGCTTAAATAGCACATCTTGTTTACTTACATCATGCCGTTGGGCATGCCACCTGCCTTCGGATCTCTACCGCGCCCCTTAATATTCCAAAACGTGATATTTCAGGCATCGTTAGGAACAGTTATTATTTAGCGAGATTATGCTGAAATTTAATAACAAAAATGTTACGAACTAAAGCAAAGATCGTAGTTATTACGTTTTGAATTTTAAACCAAAGAGTAACAATTTTATTCCAAAGAATGATTCGAAATAAAACGACTAGACCAGCCTGGAATGTACATTAAACTAAACATTGAAACGAATTTTGAATATTATACACAATATTGAGTATTACAAATGATTCAATAAATTTTCTATAAAAATCGATACGAACTTTCCGGACAATCCAATAATTCGACAAAAAAAAAATAACAAAGAACTGTTCAAGTTAAAATAGGCTAACAGTTCTCTTAGACGGAGGTAGTATAAAAGAACTGGTGAGGAACGAATTAACGCTGTCACCGGCGG